CTTCCCCAGGTACATGAAACTGTAAGTCCAATTAAACCTCTTTCTTTTGTAAATTGCCCAGTCTCAGGTATGTCTTTATCAGAAGCATAAAAATGGGCTAATACAAATGATAAGGGGTCAGTTCATCAAGAGGATATGATAATTCTAACTATATATGCACCCAACATGTGTACCCAGATATATAAAGCAAATATTATTGAATCTAAATAAAGATAGACTCCAATACAGTAATAGTGTGGAACTTCACCATCCCACTCTCTGCATTAAACAGATCATCTAGGCAGAAATTAACAAAGACACACTGGATTTAAACTGCACTTCAAATCAAATGGACCTAACAGATATTTACAGAACATTTCATCCAATAGCTGTGCAATACATATTATTTTAATTGGCATATGCAACATTCTCCAGGATAGACAATATAGGCCACAAAACAAACCTCAACAAAGTTTTAAAAATTGAAATTATATCAAGAATCTTTTAAAACTATAATGGAATAAACTAGAAATCAGTAACAGGAGAAACCACGGAAACTGTACAGATATGTACAGACTTAAAGAGCATACTCCTGAATGACCATTTATTCAATGAAGAAATTAAAAAGGAAATAAAATATTTATTGAAACAAATGAAAATGAAAATACAGCATATCAAAACCTACCTATGGGATACAGGTAAAGCACTGCTAAGAGAAAGTTATAGTAATAAGCATCTACATTAAAAAAACAGATTTCAAATCAACAACCTAGTGATACACCTCAAGGAAATAGAAATGCAAAAAAAATCACCAAAATTAGTAGAAAAAAATAAATACTAAAAATCAGAGAACTAAATAAAATATAGACTAAAAAATACAAAGGATCAATGAAACAAAAAAGTTGCTTTTTCTGAAAAGATAAACATCAATGAACCACTAGCCACACTAACCCAGGAAAAAAGAGAAAAGACTCTAAAAAATAAAATCAGAAACAAAGAAAGAGACATTATAACTGATGTTACAGAAACATAAAGGATCATTAGAAACTATTATGAACAGCTATATGCTAACAAATTGAAAAACCTAAAGAAAATGAATAAATTCTTGGACATGTACAACCTAACCAGATTGAACCAGAAAGAAATAAAACACCTGAATAGATTTATAATGGGTAATGAGATTGAATCAGTAATAAAAAGTCTTCCAACAAAGAAAAGCTCGGGACCAGAGATGGCTTTACTGCTAAATTCTACCTAACTTATAAGTAAAAACTAACTCCAATTCTCCTCAAATCATTTCAAGAAAACAGAAGAGGAGGAAATTCTTTCCAACTCATGTACAAGGCCAGTAGATACCAAAACTAAACAAGGACACAACAAAAAAAGAAAACCACAAGCCAATATCCCTGCTGAAGATAGAGGCAGAAATCCTCAACAAAATACTAGCATACCAAATCCAACGACACATCAAAAATAAAATACATCATGATCAAGTGGGACTTTTCCAGGGGTGCGAAGTTGGCTCTACATTCATCAATAAGGGCAATACATCACATCAACAGAATAAACCATAAAAGTCATATGATCATCTCAATAGATGCAGTAAAAGCACTGGAATTAATTCAGTTTCCCTTCATGCTAAAAACTCTCAACAATTTAGATATAGAAAAAACATACCTCAACATAATAAAGACTATATATGGGCTGGGCACAGTGGCTCACACCTGTAATCCCAGCACTTAAGGAGTTCGAGACTAGCCTGGCCAACATGGGGAAACCCTGTCTCTACTAAAAATACAAAAATTAGCTCGGCATGGTGGTGAGTGCCTGTAGTCCCAGTTACTCAAGAGGCTGAGCAGGAGAATCACTTGAACCCAGGAGGCAGAGGTTGCAGTGAGCTGAGATCACACTACTACACTCTAGGCTGGGTGACAAAGTGAGACACCATTTCAAAAAATAATAATAATAAATAAATACCATCTATGACAAACACACAGCTAACATATTGAATGGAGGAAAGCTGAAAGCTTTTCCTCTAAGAACTGAAACATGGCAAGGATGCCTACTTTCAGCACTCTTATTTGACACAGTACTGAAAGTCCTAGCCAGGGCAATCAGGTAAGAGAAGGAAATAAAAGGCATGCAGTCCAGGCATGGTGGCTCACACCTGTAATCCCAGTACTTTGGGAAGCTGAAGCAGACAGATCTCTTGAGACCAGGAGTTTGAGACAAACCTGGCCAACATGGTGAAACCCTGTCTCTAATAAAAATACAAAAAAAAAAAAAATTAGCTGGGACTGGTGGTGTGCCTGTAGGCCCTGTTATTCAAGAGGCTGAGACAGGAGAATCGCTTGAACCTGAAGGCAGAGAATGCAGTGAGCCGAGATTGCACCACTGCATTCCAGTTTGGGTGACAGAGCGAGACACTGTCAAATAAATAAATAAATAGCATTCAAATTGGGAAAAGCGGAAGTCAAATTCTTTCTCTTTATAGACAATATGATCTTATATATAAAAAAGCTACATACTCCACCAAAACAACTCTTGGAACTGACCAATGAACCAACATGCAGAAGTCACTAGCATTTCTATACATCAGTAATAAACCAGCTGAAAAGGAAATCAAGCAGGCAATCCCATTTACAATAGCTCCAAGAAATTTTAAAAAATAAAATACCTAGGAATAAATTTAACCAAGGAGGTGAAAGACTTCTACAAGAAAAACTACAAAACATGGATGAAAGACATTGAATATACAAACCAATGAAAAGACATCCCATGGTCATGAATTGAAATAATTAATATTGTTAAAATGACCATGCTACCCAAGCAATCTACAGACTCAATACAATTCCTATCAAAACACCAATAACATTTTTCTTTTTTTTTTTTACATTCTAATTATTTCATATATGGCCTTCTGATGGACTCATTTACTGGGAAGCTAAAGATACCCTTCAATGCCTAAAAATAAACCTGAACTGCTAAAAATTCAGCATTTCTCTTCGTCGCCTCCACCAGCTGGGCCTGTCTGCTTTCACTCCAACACCATCAAACAAGATTTACAAAAGCCAGCATGTTTACACAGGCCTGAAGAGCAGATTCTCTTTATCTTCAATTTGCCAAAACATTTTGGGGTTCTTATTATTGAGGTTTTCTTTTCTTTCCTTCCTTCCTTCCTTCCTTCCTTCCTTCCTTCCTTCCTTCCTTCCTTCCTTCCTTCCTTCCTTCCTTTCTTTCTTTTCCTCTTTCCTATTTCTTCAGGTGTTCAGAGGAATGTATTGAGTAGAGGTGAGGAACTAGGATGTTGAAATTTTTCACAAAATAAAACCTCCTAAAATTCACATGGAACCACAAAAGACCCCAAAGCGCCAAAGAAATCCTGAGCAAGACAACAAAACTGAAGACCGTACATTACCTAATTTCAAAACATTCTATACAGCTACATAATCAAAACAGCATGATATTGGTATTAAAACAGACACATAGACCAATGGAACAGAATAGAGAATCCAGAAATAAAACTGTGTATTTACAGCCAATTTATTTTTGAGAAAGGCATCAAGAACATGCACTGGAATTGAATTCATGGAAATAGAGAGTAGAAGGATGGTTACCAGAAGCTAGGAAGGGTGGTAGGATGGTGGTGGGAGGAAGGGGATAGTTACTGGGGACAAAAAATAGATAGTTAGAAAGAATAAGACCTAGTATTGATAGCGCAACAGTGACTGTAGTCAATAATAATTTAATTGTACATTTAAAAACAACTAAGAGAGTATAATTGGGTTATTTGTAATACAAAGGATAAATACTTGACAGGATGAATACTTCATTTTCCATGATGTGATTATTACTTATTGCATGCCTGTATCAAATTATCTCATGTATCCCATAAATATAGATACCTACTGTGTATCCCCAAAAAAATTTAATTAAAAATTAAAAATTTAAAAACATGTGAAACATAAAAAAGAATGTACATTGGGAAAAAACATGTAAGAAAAATAAAAAGAATATGCCCCAAAATAATTTTTCAATAAAAATTTAAAAATTGTAAAAACATGTAAAAACTAAAAAAAAAAAAAATACATTGAGAAAGGAATGCTCTTCAATAACTGGTGCTGGGAAAGCTGGATATCCATATGCAGAAGAATGAAACTTGACCCCTATCTCTCACTATATACAAAAACAATGCCAAATGGATTAAAACCTTAAATATAGACCTGAAACTATAAAACTATGAGAATAAAATATAGGGGAAATGCTTCAGGACATTGGTCTAGGCAAATGTTATGGCTAAGACTTCAAAAGCACAGCTAACAAAAATAAAATAGATAAACGGGACTATAAACTAAAAAGTTTCACATAGCAATGAAAACAACAGAGTGAAGAGACAACCTGTTGAGTCAGAGAAAATATTTGCAAACTATTCATCCAGCAAGGGACTAATATCCAAAATATGCAAGAAACTCAAAGAACTCAACAGAAAAACACAGACACACAAATAATCCCATTAAAAAGTGGGCAAAGGATCTAAATAGACATTTCTCAAGAGATACAAATAGCCAACAGGAAAACAAAGGTCTCAACATCATTAATCATTAGGGAAATGCAAATCAAAATCACAATGAGATATCATCTCACCCCAGTTATAATGTCTATTATCAAAAAGACAAAAATTAACAAATGCTAGTGAGGATGCAGAGAAAAGATAACTCTTACACACTGCGAGTGGGTACAGCCACTATGGAAAATAGTACGGACGTTTATCCAAAAAAACAAAAACAGAACTACCATATTATCCAGTAATCCCATTACTGGGTATTTATCCAAAAGAAAGGACATCAGTATATCAAAGGGATACCTGTATCCCTATGTTCATTGCAGAACTATTCATGATAGTTAAGATACAGAAGCCACCTAAGCATGTATTAATGGATGAGTGGTAAAGAAAATATGACGTACATATACACAATAGAATAATAGTCACCCAGAAAAAGGAATAAAATGCTGTTACTTACAGCAACATGGATGGAACTGAAGGTTTTTATGTTAAGTGAAATATATTAAGCCAGGCACAGAAAAACGAATACCAGATGTTCTCACTCATATATGGGAGTTTAAAAAGGTGATGTCATGAAGGTAGACAGCAGACTGATGTTTACCAGAGGCTGGAAAGGGTGGGTGTCTGGGGGTAAAGAAGATGAAGAGAAATTGGTTAATGAGTACAAACATACAGTTAGATAAAAGGAGTAAGTGTTTGTGTGCTATCAATGTGTTGAATATTTCAAAATAGAAGAGAATATCTGAAATATTCCCAGCACAAATAATAAATATTCATGTTCATGATAAATATCCAACCCTATCCAGCCCTAATTTGATCATTACATTCTATATATCAAAAATCAAATGTACCCCATAAATTTGCACAATTATGTATCAATAAAAGATTAATAGCAGGGGACAAAGGGGCAGGGCAGGAGAAGACCATAAACATTCAGAAATATCCCTCAGTTTTCTAGCTTATAAAACGTTAGACCAATATTAGGCTGGGCACTGTAACTCATGCCTATAATCCCAGCACTTTGGGAGGCTGAGGCAGGCAGATCCCTTGAGGGCCAGGAGTTCGAGACCAGCCTGGCCAAAACAGTGAAACCCCATCTCTACTAAAAAAGAAAAAAAATCTGGGCACAGTGGCATACACCAGTAATCCCAGCTACTTGAGAAGCTGAGGTATGAGAATCACTTTAACCTGGAAGGCAGAGGTTTCGGTGAGTGGAGATCATTTCACTGCACTCCAACCTGGGCAAGAGAGCGAGACTCTATCTCAAAAAAAGAAAACAAATTATACCAATATTATATAATTATCTTATTGCAGAATTTCTACATCTAAAAAGTACTCTCCTATAGTGATTTTTAAATATCAGCTATATGAAATTAAAGAATATTTTTTCCATTGTTACTACTAGGAAAAGCAAATTCCAAAAATTCAGTGTCATATTGGGTGGCAGAAACTTATCTCAGATGTTTATTTCTGGAGAACATTCCTTTCTATCCCCATTAATCGCTTCAGTTCTTCCCTAATTAATTAGAATTCTTTAGTTATTTGTTTTTATAGTCTCACACCTAAGGCTATTATTATAGTCATCAAAATAAAATGCTGACAAGTTCATTTTTATAATTTATTTATGTCTACCAAGAGGTTCAGAAATTTTATAGCTAATATAGTTCAGTGAAAATCAAATAGTCATAATAATTTTCTCTTGTGGGCATCAAACCACCAGGGCAAAGGTATCAAGAGAGAAACCAGAGTAAAAAAAATGGCCAGGTTTCAGTAGTTCACACCTGTAATCCCAGCACTTTGGGAGGCTGAGGCAGGCAGATCACTTGAGTCCAGGAGTAAGACCAGCCTGGGCAACATGGTGAAATCCTATCTCGACCAAAAATACAAAAAATGAAAAATAAGTTAGGTGGGTGTGGCAGAGCACACCTGTAGTCCCAGCTAATAGGGAGGTGAGATGGGAGAATCACTTGAACCTGGGGCGGCAGAGGCTGCAGTGGGCTGAGATCATGCCACTGCACTCCAGCCTGGGCAATATAGCAAGACCCTTCTAAAAAAAAAAAGAGTAAAAAAAATATTTTCACAACTCTCCACCATCAAAAATATGTAATAACACTGAAGGAAGTAGAAAAATTAAGAAATGTAATCTAAAAAATATAGCTTACTATACTTTTATCATGTTTTGATGTTGGGGATAGAAGAATTAGGTAAAGAGCCAGAGAAAGAAGACACTGAAGGCTTGTGGTAGAGAGCAAGGGTGAAGTGGGGTGGGTAGGATTATGGTTTGGCCAGGAAGGAAAGACAAGTGAAAGAGAAAGGAAGACAAAGACAGAGGTAGTCTCAGGGCAAAAGTGTCAAAATAACATCATATAGTAGGTCAGTTTGACACAGACACTTTAACATTCCTGAATCAAAGTAGCCCTATAAAAAATATGTAAGTCTCTGGGTTTTTATTTATTACCAAATAATCATGCACGCAGCTTACTGATCTTTATGCAACCCAGACTACATAAGACTTGCATTTTCTTTAGGTTATTTGGATTATTTCACAGTATATATTACCGTTATATATACTGTTAAATCTGTGTAAGCCTCTAATGAGGTCCTAATCTTATCTCCCAAAACATCTTAAGAGCTTTTGAATCTTAAATGTAAAATATGTTCATAGCTTAAAGAATAAAAGTATTTGTTAGAAATTTAATTAAGGATTACATATGCCATCCAGATTTAAGATTAAGGGATCATATTGTGGTCCAGATATCTACTGCTACAACCAGCTCCATCTTCTCACCCTCAGGATATAGGAAGGTTAAAAATACCATAATCATAACTCCTCAGAGCTATAGTCCCTTTTCATGATCTTCAGATTGAAAACAGAATGTTTCATTCGGCTGGGCATGGTGGTGTCTCATGCCTGTAATCCCAGCACTTTGGGAGACTGAAGCAGGCAGATCTCTTGAGCCCAGGAGTTCGAGACCAGCCTGGGCAACAGAGCAAGCTCCTGCATCAAAAAAAAAGTTTATTAAGCAGGGACTTATTAGTAAAAAGTACATTACTAATAACTTTAAAAGAGAAATAAAGTAAGCCGGGAGCGGTGGCTCACGCCTGTAATCCCAGCACTTTGGGAGGCTGAGGTGGGTGGATCACGAGGTCAAGAGATCAAGACCATCCTGGTCAACATGGTGAAACCCCATCTCTACTAAAAATACAAAAAATTAGCTGGGCATGGTGGCGCGTGCCTGTAATCCCAGCTACTCAGGAGGCCGAGGCAGGAGAATTGCCTGAACCCAGAAGGCGGAGGTTGCGGTGAGCCGAGATCGCGCATTGCACTCCAGCCTGGGTAACAAAAGCGAAACTCCATCTCAAAAAAAAAAAAGAGAGAGAAATAAAGTAATACATTTTAAAAACCAAAAACTCAAACTATTCAAGATACAAAAGATTATCAGAAAATGCATAGATGGTCAAGTGCAGTGGCTCACACTTGTAATCCCAGCACTTTGGGAGGCCAAGGTGGGCAGATCACTTGAGGACAGGAGTTCGAGACCAGCCTGGCCAACACAGTGAAACCCCATCTCTACTAAAAATACAAAAAATTAGCTGGGTGTGTGGCACGTGCTTGTAATCAATTACTTGGGTGGCTGAGGCACGAGAATCTCTTGAACTTGGGAGGTGGAGGTTGCAGTGAACCGAGATTGTGCCACTGCATTCCAGAATGGGTGACAGAGTGAGACTCCCATCTCCAAAAAGAAAAAAAGAAAGAAAATTCACAGACACTTTGCCTAGAACAATGGATGACAATGCAGTAAACTCCTGGTTATGTGGCTTGTCTGCAAGATGGTTCTTAACTCCCTCCCATCCTTGATGGGGCAGGACAGAGTTTGAGCACTGGGAAGCAGAGTGGAGCACAGTAAAAAAAAATGTGTTTATTGACAGAAAATGTGTTTAGAGACCATTTAACTCAGATTGATCCTGTTTCACACTTCAGGGATGGTAATTTATGATGCAGTAAGGTTCAATATTTTGTACTTATAATAAGAACATTTTAATATGGCCAAAACCAAAAAGGAAAGAAAAGAACATCTCATATACCAATTAGTTATAATTTTAAAAAAAAATTTTAACCTAGTGGTTAAAATATGTTTTCTTAGCAGTTTGGATATTTTTCAAAGGACCAAAAAGAATTACCATGAATTACCATGTGACCCAGCAATCACACTAGTAGGTATATCCCTAAAGGAGAATAAATCATTTTACCAAAAAGACACCTACACTCTCATGTTTATGACAGTACTATTCACAATAGCAAAGACATGGGATAAACTCAGGTGCCCATTAATTGTGAGTTGGATTAAGAAACTGTGGTATATATATACCATAGAGTACTACACAGCCATAAAAAGAGCAAAATAATGTCCTTTGCAGCAATGTGGATGCAGCTGGAGGCCATTATCCTAAGGAAATTAACAAATTGAGCAAACCAAATATTCCACTTATAAGTGGGGCCAAACACTGGCTACACATGAACATAAAGATGGGAACAATTAACACAAGTGACTCCAAAAGGAGGGAGCAGAGAGGGGGACAAAGTGTGAAAAATTACCTTTTGGATACTGTTCACTACCCGGGTGACAGGTTCAGTTGAAGCTCACAGGATCATGTAATATATCCATGTAACACACCTGCACATGTACCCCCTGAATCTAAAATAAAAATAAGCAAATAAAAATGTTTTCCTTTCATTCTTTTTGGTTTGTTTTGATCACATCAAAATGTCTTCATGTCAGTAGCACAGGAGTCTTCATTGTAGCATTGTTTGAAATAGCAATATGTTGGAAACAACATCAATATCGGAGTCACTACATAAATTGTGAGAAAGCTGTGCATCAGAATATTATGAAGCACTTTAAAAGAATAAAACATTTTTATTTCTACTGAAACAGAAGCTTCTATGTTCTACTAACATAGAAGCTATACTGTTAAATGAAAAAAAAAGGTCAGGGGCAGTATGCTACCACTTGAGTAAAAAAAAGAATGTCCGGAGGGGACTCAAGATGGCGCTGTGAGAACAACCCAGGATTGGAGCCCGCGTTGAATTCGCAAACGGTGAGTCAGTGCTGCATTTCCAGACTGATCTTTGTTGCCCACAGAACGGGGAAACTCCCAAGTATAAAAAGACACGGGACGCCAGGCAGTAGGTCTGCCTGGCAAAGCCGGCAGCCGGGGCGGCAGCGGCCGGCCCTACCCAGCAATCCCCACAGGGCGCGCTTGTCCGGGTGCCTTGTTGAACCGGCAACCTGAGACTTGAGAGGGCTGGACTTGAGACTGAACGAGACTTGCACAGTAGCCCAGCCCAGGGGATTGCAGGGACAGATCGTTTGGGACACCCAGTGGGACGAACAAAACCGCGATTTCAAACTATCCCGGGCAGACGTCCGAGACGCTCTGTGGGGGAGGGGCGTCCACCACTAAGGAGGCAACCTGCCCCAACTGATATACACGCCCACTGCTGACGCAGCCAGCCGTTGCCGAGGCAACCCGCCCCAACTGAGATACACGCCCACTGCTGACCCAGCCGGCCGTTGCCGAGGCAACCCGTCCCTACTGAGATACACGCCCACTGCTGACGCAGCCTGCCGTTGCTGAGGCAACACGTTACAACGAAGAGACTCTGCCGCAGGGCGTGGCGGAGACCACAGCAGAGCCGGCAGGAACAGCGCGAATCACACAACAGCAGGGCGGAGCCTCGGCAGCCAAACAGTGGCTAGTCTGCCTTTGAGCTGGGCAGGACACCTGATCGGACATCCAAAAATAAAGCCCAAACCCCTCAACACAGAGCATTTGAGAAAAAAAAAAAGGGTTGTTTAATGAGCTGTGTTGCAGCAGAATCAAACATAGCAGCCTAACAGCCCTGAATGAACAACAGAGTGCACAGCTCAGCAATTAAACCCCTATAAAGTACAAACTGTCTCCTCAAGCAGCTCCCTGACCCCTCTATATCCAAAAGACTGTCATTAGGCAGGCATCATCCTGGGACAAAGAGAGCAGAAAAAGAAACTGGTAGCATCCCTCGCTGTGCCACGGCTACTAGAGTTGCACCCCAGACAAGCAGGGTCTGGAGCGGACCTCAACAGTCGTACAGCGAAGGGGCTAGACTGGTAGAAGGAAAACCAAGCAACAGAAATACTTCATCATCAACATTCTGGGTGTCCACTCAGAGACCCAAACGAAAAGTCAGCAACTACGCAGACGACCAGCGGACAAATCCACAAAGATGGGAAGAAACCAGCGCAAAAAGGAGGAAAACACCCGAAACCAGAACACATCGCCTCCTAGAAAGGACCAAAACTCCTCACCAGCAAGGGAACAAAGCTGGACGGAGAATGACTGTGACGAAATGACGGAATTAGACTTCAGAAGATGGATAATGAGAAACTTTTGTGAGCTAAAAGATCATGTATTAAATCAATGCAAAGAAACTAAGAACCTTGAAAAAAGATTTGAAAAAAGATTCGAGGAAATGATAACAAGAATGGATACCTTAGAGAGGAATATGAATGAATTAAAGGAGCTGAAAAACACAATACGAGAACTTCGCGAAGCAAACGCAAGTTTCAATAGCCGAATTGACCAAGCAGAAGAAAGAATATCTGAAGTCGAAGACCAACTCAATGAAATAAAACGAGAAACTAAGATCAGAGAAAAAAGCGCAAAAAGGAATGAACAAAGTCTCCAAGAAATGTGGGACTATGTGAAAAGACCTAACCTACGTTTGATAGGTGTACCAGAAGGGGACGAAGAGAATGAATCCCAGCTGGAAAATACTCTTCAGCACATCATCCAGGAAAATTTCCCCCACCTAGCAAGACAGGCCAACACTCAATTGCAGGAAATACAGAGAACACCACAAAGATATTCCGCAAGAAGAGCAACCCCAAGGCACATAATCGTCAGATTCAACAGGGTTGAAATAAAGGAAAGAATACTAAGGGCAGCCAGAGAGAAAGGTCGGGTCACCCACAAAGGGAAGCCCATCAGACTCACAGCAGATCTCTCGGCAGAAACACTACAAGCCAGAAGAGAGTGGGGGCCAATATTCAACATTCTTAAAGAAAAGAACTTTCAACCCAGAATTTCATATCCAGCCAAACTGAGCTTCAGAAGTGAAGGAAGAATAAAATCCTTTGCGAACAAGCAAGTACTCAGAGATTTTGTCACCACCAGGCCTGCTTTACAAGAGCTCCTAAAAGAGGCACTACACATAGAAAGGATCAATCAGTACCAGCCATTCCAAAATCACACTGAATGCTAAAGAGCTTCAACATAATGAAGAATCTACAACAACTAACAGGCAAAACAGCCACTTAGAATCAAAATGGCAGTATCAAATTCACACATAACAATATTAACCCTAAATGTAAATGGACTAAATGCACCAATCAAAAGACACAGACTGGCAAATTGGATAAAAATCCAAAACCCATCAGTGTGCTGTATCCAGGAAACCCAACTCACATGCAAGGATACACAAAGGCTCAAAATAAAGGGATGGAGGAAGATTTACCAAGCTAATGGAAAGCAAAAAAAAGCAGGAGTTGCAATTCTCATCTCTGATAAAATAGACTTTAAAGCAACAAAGATCAAAAGAGACAAAGAAGGCCATTACATAATGGTAAAAGGATCGATACAACAAGAAGAGCTAACAATCCTAAACATATATGGACCCAACACAGGAGCACCCAGATACATAAGGCAAGTTCTTAATGACTTACAGAAGGACTTAGACTCCCACACAATAATAGTGGGAGACTTTAACACTCCACTGTCAATACTAGACAGATCAACCAGACAGAAAATCAACAAGGATACCCAGGGCTTGAACTCAGACCTGGAGCAAGCAAACCTGATAGACATTTACAGAACTCTCCACCCCAAATCCACAGAATATACATTCTTCTCAGCACCACATCACACCTACTCTAAAATTGACCACATAATTGGAAGTAAAGCACTGCTCAACAAATGCAAAACAACTGAAATCATAACAAACAGCCTCTCAGACCATAGTGCAATCAAGTTAGAACTCAGAATTCAGGAACCGACCCAGAACCGCACAGCTTCATGGAAACTGAACAACTGGCTCTTGAATGTTGACTGGGTAAACAACGAAATGAAGGCAGAAATAAAGAAGTTCTTCGAAACCAATGAGAATGAAGACACAACGTGCCAGAACCTCTGGGACACATTTAAAGCAGTCTCTAGAGGAAAGTATATAGCAATAAGTGCCCATATGAGGAGAATGGAGAGATCCAAAATTGACACCCTATCGTCAAAATTGAAAGAGCTAGAGGAGCAAGATCAAAAAAACTCAAAATCCAGCAGAAGACAAGAAATTACTAAGATCAGAGCTGAGCTGAAGGAGATTGAGACACGAAAAACCCTTCAAAAAATCACTAAATCCAAGAGCTGGTTTTTTGAAAAGATCAACAAAATAGACAGACCACTAGCCAGATTGATTAAAAATAAAAGAGAGAACAACCAAATAGATGCAATAAAAAATGATAAAGGGGAAATCACCACAGATTCCACAGAAATTCAAACCATCATCAGAGAATATTACAAACAACTCTATGCACATAAACTAGTAAACCTGGAAGAAATGGATAAATTCCTGGACTCCTGTGTCCTCCCAAGCCTAAACCAGGAGGAGGCTGAAACTATGAATAGACCAATAACAAGGTCTGAAGTTGAGGCAGCAATTAAGAGCCTACCTCACAAAAAAAGCCCAGGTCCAGATGGGTTCACAGCCAAATTCTACCAGACACACAAGGAGGAGCTGGTACCATTCCTTCTAAAACTATTTCAAACAATCCAAAAAGAGGAAATCCTTCCCAAATCATTTTATGAGACCAACATCATCCTGATACCAAAACCCGGCAGAGACCCAACGAGAAAAGAAAACTTCAGGCCAATATCCATGATGAACATAGATGCAAAAATCTTCAATAAAATATTGGCAAGCCGATTGCAACAGCAAATCAAAAAACTTATTCATCATGATCAAGTAGGATTCATCCCAGGGATGCAAGGCTGGTTCAACATACACAAGTCTATCAACGTAATTCACCACATAAACAGAACCAAAAACAAAAACCACATGATTATCTCAATTGACGCAGAGAAGGCATTTGACAAAATTCAACAGCCCTTTATGCTAAAAACCCTCAATAAACTCGGTATCGATGGAACGTATCTCAAAGTAATAAAAGCTATTTATGACAAAACAACAGCCAATATCATACTGAATGGGCAAAAACTGGAAGCATTCCCTTTGAAATCTGGCACTAGACAAGGATGCCCACTCTCACCACTCCTATTCAATATAGTACTGGAAGTTCTAGCCAGAGCAATCAGGCAAGAAAAAGAAATAAAGGGTATTCAAATAGGAAAGGTGGAAGCCAAATTGTCTCTATTTGCAGACTACATGATAGTATACCTAGAAGACCCCATCGCCTCAGCCCAAAAACTCCTGAAACTGATAAACAACTTCAGCAAAGTCTCAGGATATAAAATCAATGTGCAAAAATCACAAGCATTCGTCTACACCAATAACAGACTTAAAGAAAGCCAAATCAAGAGCGAACTGCCATTCGCAATTGCTACAAAAAGAATAAAATACCTTGGAATACAACTCACAAGGAACGTAAGGGACCTCTTCAAGGAGAACTACAAACCACTGCTCAACGAAATCAGAGAGGACACAAACAGATGGAGAAACATTCCATGTTCATGGTTAGGAAGAATTAATATCGTGAAAATGGCTATACTGCCCAAAGTAATTTACAGAATCAACGCTATCCCCATCAAGCTACCATTGACTTTCTTCACAGAACTGGAAAAAACCACCATGAACTTCATATGGAACCAAAAGAGAGCCCGCATAGCCAAGTCAATTCTAAGCAAAAAGAACACAGCGGGGGGCATCACACTACCGGATTTCAAACTATACTACAAGGCTACAGTAATCAAAACAGCATGGTACTGGTACCAAAACAGAGATATAGACCAATGGAACAAAACAGAGGCACCGGAGGCAACACAACATACATACAACTATACAATCTTTGATAAACCTGACAAAAACAAGCAATGGGGCAAGGATTCCATGTTTAACAAATGGTGTTGGGAAAACTGGCTAGCCATGTGCAGAAAGCAGAAACTGGACCCCTTCCTGACACCTTACACTAAAATTAACTCCAGATGGATTAAAGACTTAAACATAAGACCTGGCACCATAAAAACCCTAGAAGGAAATCTAGGCAAAACTATCCAGGACATAGGAGTAGGCAAGGACTTCATGAACAAAACACCAAAAGCATTGGCAACAAAAGCCAAAATAGACAAATGGGACCTAATGAAACTCCACAGCTTCTGCACGGCAAAAGAAACAGTCACTAGAGTGGATCGGCAACCAACAGAATGGGAAAAAATTTTCGCAGTCTACCCATCTGACAAAGGGCTGATATCCAGAATTTACAAACAACTCAAGCAGATTTACAGGAAAAAAACAAACAAGCCCATTCAAAAGTGGGCAAAGGATATGAACAGATACTTTACGAAAGAAGACATATATGAGGCCA